AAGTAGAAGTCGCAGGCATACTTTGGAGATAAAATGCAATCACGACTCCACATTCATTTCGCAAAATCTTCCGCACTAATTCACCGCTGAATTCATCTCCTATCAGTTTGAATTTTTAAATTTTACAAATGATCCATTATAAACGCTTGCTGATAATTCTGCACAAAAAAGCAACACGCGATATATTCCAACGTAAGTAACGTATATTAACTGCAATCGCAGAAGTTCATCATTACACTGCGCACAAATAAATTTTGTTGAATTAAAATGTCAGCAAACTCACTCATTTTCTTTGAAATGATTCGTTTCAGCATTCACTTTGGCGTCTTCGACTGCCTCTGGAACCATCTCAATACCCACCAAATGATGATTCGATAGCCTATTCGATTTTCTTAACAAAGACATCAAACACAGACCAATTGTGCCTGTTCCACAGCAAACGTCCAATAAAACTGTTGCTTGTGATGAGACAGCTGGTTTTCCTTCTTTTGATGCTTTATCACTCATCTGCAAAAAAATCACATACGATACTAGTTATGTGTATTCTTAACTTAAAAATACAGATAATATAAGACGCAAAAAATTATTCCATGTAATCGAAGACAGTCAAAGGAATCAAACAAAATCACCACTGACTTCAACATCACTCTCAATTTTTGCTTTCTTCTTTGCAATCTCTTCACAAACGTCCGAATGCGCTTCTTCACAACCTCGTTTCTTGTCGTCTTCCTTAATTATAATCCGCCTCATTATCCTTCACAACCGAATCTCTCAATTGTAAAATTCAAATATCGCTCAAATATGAATGCCATCTCTTGATGGATATATTTAAAAAAAAACACAAATGAATAGAAGTGCTCACTGGAGCGCTTTCAATTGGCTGGGTAGTTGCTGAAGAAGACAAGTCACCATCCACACTCTGTTCATTGTCTGAGGCTTTACTGTGAACATCACCTTTCTTATCTGTAATCGCTTCATTCGATGAAGCAACTTTATCTGCTTTTTCATTCGTTTCTCCATTCGAAGAGTCCATTTCACCCGATTCCTTGCTA